GGGTGGGTGGTGAATAAAAGGTGGTTACCAACACTTACCCTTGGGGAAGTTACCTAACCTCTTTTTGCCTCATTTGTGGAATGGGATGCTGGAAGTCCACCTGGCATAAAGGCTGTTGTGTAAGGATGAGATGATATGCATACAGGGTGCTTCACATATACTGAGTCCTCCTTGAGGATTAGCTGCTACTGATTATTTTATCATTATTGTAAAGATTTCAGCTACCGTTGAGAATTTACAGGTCATCCTTTCTTTATAGAGTTTTTAATCATGCATGGTGGTTATATCAAAACACACAAACAATGATGGTATTAAAATAGTACTTGCAAAATGTGATCAGTGCTTTCAGGAAGGTAAGGACTTGGCCTGGTACATCATAAATATTTATTAGAGTTTGTTGACTTAAAAAAAGAAAGCTGGAAAAGTCTTTTGACCTCTAAAACCTTGAACAGTTTTTTTTTTTTGGCATGGAGAAGTAATTATCTGCAAACTTCTTCCTTCACCAGAGCAGCTCTTTCACAAAATAAGGCTTACCTAAATTCTATTTTTTTTTCTTTTTTGAAACGGAGTTTCATTCTTGTTGCTCAGTCTAGAGCACAATGGTGCAATCTCAGCTCACCGCAACCACCACCTCCCAGGTTCAAGCGATTCTCCTGCCTCAGCCTCCCAAGTAGCTGGGATTACAGGTGTGCACCACCACGCCTGGCTAATTTTTGTGTTTTTGGTAGAGACGGGGTTTTGCCATGTTGGCCAGGCTGGTCTCAAACTCCTGATCTCAGGTGATTCGCCCACCTCAGCCTCCCAAAGTGCTGGGATTACAGGTGTGAGCCACCGTGCCCGGCCTAAATTCTTAAGCCTTATATCAAATATATGAGAAAATCCAGGAGCTGGAGTGGGATTGGGTGTCCTGTGGATCCAGTTGCATATTCACCCTGCTCCATCTGTGGTTCAAATGCTTACCAGGTTACAGCAGAGAAACTGGGCTTATGCATGTTGGTAGTAGGTATTAGTAATATGAAATCAGGATCCCGTTTTATTTACAACCTTACATATCCATGAATTGGCTATAATTACATGTAAAATCAGCATAGCCAAGGACAAAGTACTATGATAGTTAGCTCTTCTCTTCCTTTTCTTTATCTGTCTGTTCTCTTATCTTCTTCCTTGGCTGTTCACCAGGTTGGTGGAAGAGGGAGGGAATCCCCAGCACTGGCCACTGACTGTGTGCTGTCCTTTTTTTTGTCTTGAGATGGAGTCTGTGTTGCCCAGGCTGGAATGCAGTGGCACAATCTTGGCTCACTGCAACCTCTGCCTCTTGGGTTTCAGTGATCAGCTTCTGCCTCAGCTTCCTGTGTAGCTGGGACTACAGGTGTGTGCTATTACACCCAACTAATTTTTGTATTTTTTTTAGTAGAGACAGGGTTTCACCATGTTGTCCAGGCTGGTCTCGAACTCCTGACCTCGTGAACCGCCCGTCTCAGCCTTCCAAAGTGCTGGGATTACAGGCGTGAGCCACGGCGCTCAGCCTATGTGTCCTACCTTCTGCTTGTCCTTAGCATCACTCAGGCACACTCTTTCCCACTACCCTACTTTACCCAACTGCTACACACCTGTCCACATACATGCTGTATAGATTGTTTCCTGGATGATCCTTTGACCTCTTACTAACAACAACCCTCATATAGCAAGGGTGGTCCATTCATCAATTTATTCTCATTCCATCTCCCTCCTCCGCATCTCCTTATGCTCTGTTCTCTCCATAGATTAAAATAAAATATAAAACAAAGAGGCAGAGTGTTCCTAATTGGATTGTTTTCCAGATTTACAGAGTCCCTGGGAATATGCTGAATTCATATGCACAGTATTGTTTTTATCAGGATTCTAAGAAGTGGCAAAGTTAAGTCAGCACCTCAAGGTGGAGAAGTCCCCGGAATGTTTGGTGGAAAAGCCGTGAGCTAGGGTAGAAAGACCTGGGCGCTCACCTAGCATTGCTGTTAACCCAGGCAAGTGACTTAGCCATGCTGGTCCTTAATTTTCTGGTCAGCAAAACAAGAGAATTGGGATTAAGGCCTCTTCTAGCATCCACTGTGTGGGTTTCCGTCCTTTGGTTACTCATCGACAAAACATCATCATCAAGTTTTACTGTTTCTGAAACTGATGTTCTTTGTTTAAATCTGTAACTAGTATCTGCTGATTTTAAAATGTACCTTTATTGTTTTTATTACAAAGCGTATTATACTTTCTACTGATACATTTCTCATTAGTTGTTCCCAGTGACTCCTCTTTCTCTTCCTTATTCTTTTCTGTCTCATCTCATTCTTCATAGTTAAGTGTTGATGGTTGGTAGCTAGTGTCTCAGGCTTTTCTAGGCTGGAAATATATGCATATGTAAATAAGAAATTCTTTTGACTATAAAGGGATTGTATTATACATATGGTTCTGAAGCTTGTGTTTTTATTGATTAGCAGATGATAGAGACAAACATTAGGAAACAATATTCAGTGAAACATCAGTCTCCCTTATACCCTTAATCCCTAGTTGTCTTTCCTTAGAGGCAATGTTTATATATCAGAAATGTTCTGTGTATATATACACACGTATACAGATACGATTTTTTTTTTTTTTTAACAAAGTGGGAGCATACTGTTCACTGTTTAGCTCCTTGCTGCTGCTGTTGTTTTTCCTCTTTTGGTTTAATGTTATATTTTGTAGATTACTCCATGTCAAATAATTCATGTAAACACTTAGTAAGTGCTCAGAAATGTTAATTATCATTATCAGCCCCCTAAGCAGCTTTCCTATTCTTGGTTTAAGGCTACAAAACATTCCATTGTACAGATACACTAGTTACTTACTGATATTTCCAGTGTGGCTATTATAAATAATAGTTCAGTGGACATCCTTGCTTCTAAGTCCTTGTATGACTGTATCTGCAGGAGAAATGTCTGTTGAAAGACTGTACCTTTTACATTTTGTTAGGTATTTAGAAGGCAGTTTAGCAGTTGGTTGAACCTGTTTGCATTACTATCAAGAATATATGAGGCAGCCGGGCGTGTGGTGGCTCCCGCCTGTAATCCCAGCACTTTGGGAGGCCGCGGTGGGTGGATCACTTGAGGTCAGGAGTTCGAGACCAGCCTGGACAACATGGGGAAATGCCATGTCTACTGAAAATACAAAAATTAGCTGGGCATGGTGGCGTGCGCATGTAAGCCCAGCTACTTGGGAGGCTGAGGCAGGAGAATCGCTTAAACTCCAGAGCTGGAGGTTGTGGTGAGCCAAGATCATGCCACTGCACTCCAGACTGGGTGACAGGGAGACACTGTCTCAAAAAAAAAAAAAAAAAACGGAAAAAAGAAAAAAGGAATGTATGAGGTCAGGTGAAGTGGCTCATGCCTGTAATCCCAGCACTTTGGGAGGCTGAGGCGAGCGGATCATGAGGTCAAGATCGAGACCATCCTGACAAACATGGTGAAACCCCGTCTGTACTAAAAATACAAAAATTAGCTGGGCATGGTAGTGGGAGCCTGTAGTCCCAGCTACTCGGGAGGCTGAGACAGGAGAATCGCTTCAACCCTGGAGGCGGAGGTTGCAGTGAGCCGACATCACGCCACTGCACCACTCCAACCTGGAGACAGAGTGAGAATCCATCTCCAAAAAAAAAAAAAAGTAAACACTTTTGTACTTTTGTAGTTTGCATCAAGAAAGCTAGTATGTAAAACTTTGTACTTAGTCCAAGGGTAGCGGTGCCGGTTGTTGACAGACGCCACTTCCCTTTTTGCTTCATGCGCGCCTCTGCGCACGCGCCGCACTCTCGTCCACCTATTGGTGAATTGTAGGTTTCTTTGCGAAGACTACATTTCCCAGAAGGATGGTTTTTGGTTTTAACCACCACTTATGAACTGTGGTGGAAAAGATGTTAGAGATTATCTAGTGTTACATATAAAGAGAGAGAGATCCAAAAAGGTGAAATAACTGGTTCAAGAGCATAGATAATGGTAAGAATAGGGCTACAACTCTGCCTTTGGGGCTCCTGGTCTAGCATGTTTGTTAGAATCACACATTAAAATTATTCTCTTTATAATTTTCTTTACAGATCATGCAATGTATTTAAATAGTGAACTGATGGTAACAATTTATAGAGCAAATCTGTTGCATAAAGTAGCACTTTATAAATATTCTAGGTGTGTTAATAGATATTAACATGGAAGAAAGAGAACAATATAGAGAATTTCTCTCCCCCAGCGCCCCCAGTTTTTTAAACAGAGCATCTTAGGGTATTAATATGTAGGAAAACGCCCTGCAACACTGACACATATAACTCAAAACCTAAGGAATCACTGAGCCAGGTTGCACCACTGGCAGGAAAAGTCATTTAAATTTGGTCACTGGGACTGGGCCTGGTGGCTCACGCCTGTAATCCCAGCACTTTGGGAGGCCAAGGCAGGCAGATCACCTGAGGTCATGAGCTCAAGACCAGCCTGGCCAACACAGCAAAACCCTGTCTCTAATAAAAATACAAAATACAAAACTTAGCTGGGTGTGGTGTTGCATGTCTGTAAGCCCAGCTGTTCGGGAGGCTGAGGCAGGACAACTGCTTGAACCCGGGAGGCAGAGGTTGCAGTGGGCCGAGATCGCATCATTGCATTCCAGCCTGGGTGACAGAGCGAGACTCTGTCTCAAAAATAAATAAATAAGTTTGGTCACGGGGAGCAAAGTAATATTTACCTGGTATGTTTCTCAGTGAAAGAACTTGTGTCGTGATCCATATCAGTGTTTGTAAGTCCCTCTGTGACGGTCCTGCCAAGGTCCTTTACCTGATGACCTGATGAAGGTGAAAGTCAGAGTAGGAAAACCACAGGAGTGAAATGGTGAGCATCCCTTCTGGGTAGTAGTGATTACAGTCTGTAAAAGCCACAGCTGACTTGAAGAGCTAACTTAATAATGTAATAGTTAACACGAGGTCATTTATTCACCATTGGACCTTAACAAGATGTCTGCAGAACACAGCTTGAAGGGGACCGAAGACAGAACCTGTTGGATGATCTTGTAACTCGGGAGAGACTACTTCTGGCATCCTTTAAGAATGAGGGTGCCGAACCAGATCTAATCAGGTAGGATGTTTTCATTTACAGGGATTACTTGGTGGGCGAAGACTTCTTTGCAAATATTACAGCTGTTTCCTGAATGCCTTACTTTAGGCATTAAATCAATCAAAATCTATTCTATTCATTTATGGTGTTGGACTATAATATTCTACTCAATTTAGTTTTCGTTAATTTTCTAGGTTTAGGAAACCAGGTATGTTCAGCTGAATCCCATCTTGGGTGGAACATACTAAGGGAGACTGTGGGTGAAGTCAGAACATGTCTTTGGCATTCTTTGGTTGAATTTTCTGCTTTGTTAACTGCCTTGTAAACTCCCGAAGTCAGTACTTCTCTGTGTGGGCAAAGGAGTGTTTGGTTTTTTTTTTTTTTTTTTTTTTAAATTGGCATATTGAAAAAATGAGTCCTAATAAGACTGGGCCGGCACCCACAGAGGCAGAGGAGTTGGACCCTCCTCCCCGTTCTTCACCAGTGAGTGATTCACACTTCAAAGAGCCGACAGCTGCTCTGAGCCCGGCTCTGCTGGAAGACCCCGTGGACGGGTCCGGCTTTCCAAGGCTGAGGCTGATGAACCGTAAATTGCTACATCTTTAAAATTGGCCTCCCCCTGTTTCCAGAACTTCCTGAGCTTCATCATGGGAACCATCACAGAAGGCAATGAGCTTGGATGGAAAGCCGCCTCTCCTCGTCTTCCACGCTAGGGACGATGCATGTATCGTGGAGAGGGGCTTGTTTCTAGTTAGTTCCCAGTTAGGAGTAGTATGGCTTCCCAAGGGCAGTGGTTTTGGACCCTAGCCATGCATTATCAGACTCCACCTCAGACAAGTGAACCCGAGTGGGATTGGGGTGGAGGGGCAGGGGGCAGGGAGGTCTCAGGTGATTCTAATATACAACCCGGATTGCAAACCACTGCCTAGAACAAGCTGAAGAAAACGAAACTGATTTTCCCGTGGATCCCAGTCTTCTCAGGAGCAGTTTCCAAGGTTCCGTGAAGAAACTGTGAAGTACGGAAAGGTAGCTGGGATGTTAAGTTGCTTCTGTGAAGAAAGGAACCTAAGGAGTCGTGAGGGGAGGGTGATACTCTTGGCAGTCTCCTGGGCGGGGTTTAAATGAAGACAGAAGCCTGTGGCGGGCCAATCTACTGTGGTTCCCCATATTTCCCTGGCATATTCAGTCCCAGGGTACAGGGGTGGAGTATGTGGATGAAGGTGGTGTTCCAGGTTGGTCAAAGAGAACAGGGGAGCAAAGGAATCCCCCAAGGTGGAAAGAGTACTGGCATCTGGGCGCAGTGGCTCACGCCTGTAAGCTTTGGGAGGCCGAGGTGGGTGGATTGCCTGAGCTGAGGAGTTTGAGACCAGCCTGGGCAACAAGGTGAAACACCGTCTCTACTAAAATACAAAAAAAAAAAAAAAAAGTAGCCGGGCGCAGTGGCGGCCACCTGTAGTCCGAGCTACTCAGGAGGCTGAGGCAGGAGAATTGCTTGAACCTGGGAGGCGGAGGTTGCACTGAGCCAAGATTGTGCCACTGCACTCCAGCCTGGGACAGAGCGAGACTCTGTCTCCAAAAAAAAAAAAAAAAAAAAAGAACTATCTTTCAGAAGGGGCTTTACACTGAAGACAGTCTTTTTAGTCAAGATATTAATAAGGGCATAGTTAGGACGGGAAGCTTGTTTCGTGGAGGAATAGGGGTCATGTAGAGACATGATGGTCAGAAGGGGGCAAAATATTCAGACTGTTCTGCTCGGTAGTGATGAGGCAGTCGTGATAAATAGTCAGTTCCCATTTGAAAAGAGCGTGGACTCTGCTCTTTACTTGTCATTAATGATGCTGAAGGAGCCAACCTAGGAATTTAGGCCAAGGACCTCTGAAGTCCTCCCACCAGGTCCTTCTGTTTTCTGTTTTTGGACCCAACTTGCCTGCCTTTGTCACCTTTCTTCTCTAATCATCTCTGTGTCCTTTGAACTGTAACCGGCTGATAAGCAGCGTCAGCATTACCTGGCAGCGTGTTGCAAACTCAGAATTTCCAACCCCAGTCCCAAAGTACGGAATTAAAACTTGCATTTTAACAAGACCATCAAGTGATTTGAATGCACACTATAATTTGAGAAATATTGCTTTGTATCATTCCTTTTTTTTTTTTGAGACAGAGTTTCGTTCTACCACCCAGGCTGGAGTGCAGTGGCACAATTTCAGCTGACTGCAACGTCGGCCTCCTGAGTTCAAGTGATTCTCCTGCCTCAGCTTCCCGAGTAGCTGGGATCACAGGCGCACGCCACAACGCCTGGCTAATTTTGTATTTTTGCTAGAGATGAGATTTTACCATGTTGGCCAGGCTGGTCTTGAATATCTGACCTCAGGTGGTGTGCCCGCCTCAGTCTCCCAAAATTCTGGGATTATAGGCATGAGTCACTGCACCTGACCTGTGTCATTTATTCTTAATCATGGTAGTTTGCATCAGAACACAAGAGAGAATGGAAAAAAAAAAAAGAAATACAAATGTCTAGACCATATACTTGCAGAGTCTCATGCATAGTCTTGAGTGAGACCTGGGCAGCAGTAAGGCTGGGGAGACTGCTGGGTGGATTTAGTAGATGGCAGGGTTAGAACGACTGCTCTATGTCATGATGTACTAGTCATGAGACCTATAGCATGTGTCTGCTATTTGTTTTCTATATGGTAGGCACTATGCTAAGCTCTTTATGTGCTTTTGCTCAGGAGCTCTTTATAGTATCCCATTTTGCAGAAGAGAAACTGAGGCTCAGAGGGTTCAAGATTCTAAAGCTAGTCAGTCACAGAACTTAGATTTTAGCTCTGAACTCGTAACCATTGCACCATAAAAAGAGCTGGATGAGGTGTTAGAAGGACCCAGTTCTGTAGCTTTCTAGTCCCTCAGTCATCTGGGCTTCCAAGTCATTGACCTTAGACTGCGGGTACATGTGCTGCCCATTTTTCATTGTTGTTAGGACCAGATGAAGTGATTGCTATGAGATGGGCTTTGTAAACTCTAAGACCTTTGTAAATACAAGATGTTATTACTGGAGCATTGTGTCTCCATCAGGCTGGGAGGGAGCTCATGCTGCCTCATTGCTTTGGAGATCTTCTGTCCCTGGTGTCATGCCCCTTGAGTGCTCTACAGGGACCTGGTCTGTGTGAACCCATCATATGCTGCACCTGGTCCTCTGCCCTCCATTCTCCTCTTCCACATCTCGTTTGTTCCGTGTCTGCTTGCCTCCGTGCCCAGCTTGCTGCCTATTGTCTTATTAGCGAACAATCTCGTTAATTCTAGCAGTGGAATCAACGGCTGGCAATGTCCTGTCTTCTGGAGGTATTTTAACCAAAACCTCCTTAAACCCTAGGATTTAAACCACAGTGAATTAGTTGATAGGAATGTTTAGGGAATTTGGCAGGTTATTGTCAGGTGGTGTTTTTGGATAGAGGCCTTCTGAGGAAGACCTCTGGGTCCTGCCCCTGGGACTGCCTTCTGCTCTTCATGCCTATAAGGCTGATCCATGTGGTGGACTACAGCTGTTGCTTGTTGGTGTGTTGGTGAGTGGCTGAGTGGCATGGGGACAGAGATCATACTGGGGAGACACTGTCAAGCAAAGGTAACTGAATCCCTGAGGGTTGAAATAAAGTAACTGGCCAGACCTATTTACATGCTGTCAAGATGAAACCAAGGGCAACATAGAGATTGGTGTATCTTTTCAGGACCAGAAGTCTAGGATAGATCAGAAGAAGCTTCTAGAAGAATTCTTTTTAAAAAGAATGTAAGCCCTGTCAGGGAGAAATGACTCCTGTGGAGTGATTTGAAGAAGGTAGACATGGACATAACACACAGTGACGGTCCGTTCCGGATGACGTGGAATCTGGCCAACAGCGGGAAACCAACGTGGCGACTGGACATTGAGCACCGTGAAGAAAGAAAGTCATTGCAGATGCAGAGAGGAAGGAGAGGGATGTCGGTGGCCTGGAAGGTGAATTTCCCCTTCACTTCCATTGGTGAATCCTTGCTGGGCTAGGATTGCTTTAGACCCAACACCCTAACGGGAACGTGTCTACATATGCTTGTCCAAAAAGTGTAAGTCCTGTGGACATTCCAGAGAAATCTGATCAATAAGAAAATTCATACTAGAAAAAACCACTGTCAAAAGCTATGTAGAAAAGTCCCTGGGAAATCTGCTCAAGGGCCATGAGAACAAATACCCAGCTAGCGTTGCTCCAACTGGTCAGGGAAGATGGCACCATGTGGACTTATTGAGGACCAGCAAGAAGTGTGTGGCTGAGTGAATGCTAAAGCCTAAGTAGACTGCCAGAAGCGGATTTTCTTAGATTTGAGGTCAGAGTTGCTGGTCTTGGATTTCCTTCACCTGCCTATGTGAGAGTATTATTTTTGCCTTCTTTACCCCAATCCCCATCCTTGAGACCTCCCCTTCTTTTCCCAACTTCTCATACCTAATAGTTCTGTTGCTTGGACCTAGCCTTCTGAGGACCGTAATTCAATTGTAAACGTGACTTGTGCATTATATGACATGTTCAATTACAGTTTGATTGTATCCCCTTCCCCGCTGATTGTCAGTTGCCTGGTCATTTCTAATACCAGCTGTTAGGGAACGCTCAGCTCTATCTATCTTTGGAGAAACTCATTCGTTTCTCTGCCAGTTGGTTTCTGTAGTATCTCCAGTGACTTACAGAGATTTCCTTAGACCTCTCCACAGTTAATTCCCAGTCCCAGGCTCCTCTAAGATTTTCGTTTGCTTCTCTAATCTCGGGATTCCTCCAGCATTTTTCTTTGCTTCTGTAGTTCTTGGTTTTTGGGGGGGTCAGTTGGGTTGCTTTGTCACTTTGTGGGTGGAGGGTAGGTGTCTTTCTCTTAATTCATGATGTCCAGAAGCACAGTGGCCAGAAAGCCTTGTCAGAACTTTGAAATGTTATAGACATGCTCACTGTGGCACATTTTGTCATTAATGCTAGACCATGACCACAACACATTTACTGTTAGAGAACTGGAGT